GTCATGGAACTATCTAGGATACCATGCCCAAGGACATCCTTAGACGAAGCTACCTTCCAGTCGACCAAGAGAGACTCCACTCGACTGGCTAGAAGACACTCGACGAATCTAAAGACACTCGACCATGAAGACCCACTCGACCATCAGGAGTTCAGGATCTACTCTGCATCCAAACGGTCTGTAATTAAGTAGTCTTGATGGTCATGATGACACTTTAAGTAGGGCGTTACCAGTAATGCCCGGCCATAATGTACTTTAATCCTCTGCTACGTGGGTTGGCTGGGGTCCTGGCGTCCTCTATATAAGCCACCCCCCTCCACTGGTAGAAGGGTTCGCACCCCTGTAACTCATATACACAGAAACCAGTCGACCGCCTCCGGGCTCCGAGACGTAGGGCTGTTACTTCCTCCGAGAAGGGCCTGAACTCGCTAAACACTCGTGTGTACAACTGCTCCATAGCTAGGATCTTGCCTCTCCATACCTACCCCCCATTCTACTGTCAGACTTCGAACCACGACAGCCGACGATTCCGCCAAATCTGCGGGTAGAAACGCGCCGTGGGGCCGCCCACCATCCTCCTGCGCTGTCACGCTGCATCGACCCCCGGATCCGGCAAGGATCGACCACCGTCGAGCCCCCCCCCCCTCATCGCCGCCTGGGATCATCCGCCGCATCCTCCACCGATTAGTGCGTATTTTGTGATCTTTGCAAGCGAGCGGTATAGTTCGTTGACGCGCCGGTATGCATGTAGATGGATTTGAGCCCGTGAAAGAAGTTCTTGCTCACCGATTTGTCCGATTCGGATGACTCGGATGTTGAGACCATGCTTGCCAACTTTCGGCAGCAGACATTAGTCATGGCACTTGCCGTGAAGGAGCACGAAGACGAGAACCGGAAGAGAAGGCGAGGATCGACCGTCGGGCGTCTTTGCATTCCTCGGAATCGTCATCTTGGGAACGAGATGTTGATGCAAGACTACTTCATGGAGAATCCTACATATCCACCACACCTCTTCCGGAGAAGGTACCGAATACGCCGATCTCTTTTTGTGAAAATTGTTCAAGCCTGCGAGGCAAATTGCCGGTATTTTACTCAAAGAAAAAATGTTGCGGGATTAAAGGTATTTAGTGCATATCAAAAAAATCTTCTCAGCTATGCGGGTGATTGCATATGGCGTTTTGGCTGACTATGCCGATGAGTACCTTCGCATTGGTGAAGATACTACAATTGAGTCCGTGCATAGATTTGCAAAAGTGATCATCCGTGTCTTTGGTCCTGAGTATCTTCGGGCACCCAATGAGGATGACACAAAGAAATTGATGGCATCTAATGAGAGGAGAGGTTGGCCTGGCATGCTAGGTAGCATTGATTGTATGCATTGGACATGGAAAAATTGCCTGAAGGCATGGCAAGAAATGTATTGTGGCAAGTCTCGTGATGCAACAATTGTGCTACAGGCCGTAGCATCCGAGGATTTATGGATTTGGCATTGCTTCTTTGGTATGTCGGGCACTCTCAATGATATCAATGTGTTGCAACGGTCTCATTTGTTTGCTAGGCTTGCTAGTGGTGATGCTCCTACTTGCAACTACACTATCAATGGGCATGAATACACAAAAGGGTACTATCTTGCAGATGGTATATACCCTCCTTGGTGCACATTTGTCAAGAGCATCAAAGAACCCAAAACTAAAAAATAGTGTGAATTTGCAAGGGTGCAAGAGGCAGCCCGAAAAGACATTGAAAGAGCATTCGGTGTTTTGCAATCTAGGTTTGCCATTGTCCATGGTCCTGCTCGTTTTTGGGATAAGAAAACCTTGAAAAATATCATGACATGCTGTGTTATCCTTCACAATATGATTCTTGAAGATGAGAGAGGAATGAACTTGGAATTCTTCTACGACAATGTGGGTAGCCGTGTCAAACCAGCTAGAGACCCTAACCGCATTAGAGCTTTTCTTCAGACATACAAGGAGATTGAAAATGCAGACACACATTTTCAACTTCAGGAGGATCTCATTGAGTATCATTGGCAAAGGGCTGGACTGTGACTCCTTTTTGTATTCATTTGTATTTGTACACATCACAAGTTTTGTATTGCATTATTTAAGATTTGAATAATTATTTTGTAATGTGGATGATTGTCATATTGTGTTGAATTTGAATAATTATTTAGTTTGCTTCCATTTGTTGTATTATGCTGGATTTGATATATTTTGCGGGCCGATGAGATGCGGAAAAAGCGGTGCAAGAGTAGACACCGCAAAGGCGACCCGTATAAAAGCATATTCGGCGAATATACTTTTATACGGGTCCGTTGGAGGGTCTACATCTGCGGCCGTCCTTGCCGGCCCGCAAAAGCCGTTTTCCGTGAACTGCAAACGTGTTTTGCGGGCCAGCGGGATGCGGGGGTCTGCTAGAGTTGCTCTAAGCTCTCTCAATCCCCTCAATTTGTTTTAGTTAACAAGTTTTCGATTCGACGCATTATTTGGCACAAGATGAACCATATTTCATCTAGTAGATTTTGATTTTTTGTTGTTTTTAGGTTTGTTTAGTTAGGAGTAATATGATGTTTGATGTAGTTGAATATGATAGAGCCTATCTTATATAGTTGATGAACCCTAATTCATGCTAATATTTTTTTGAATAATTTATTAATGTTTGATGTGGTTAAAAATGTTTGAATATGATTGATGCGGTGATGTGGTTGAATATGATTGACGCGGTGATGTGGTTGAAGTAGAATATGATTTATATAGTTGATGAACCCTAGTTCATGTTAAAAAAATTGAACTATTTATTGATGTTTGATGTGGTTAAATATGTTTGAATGTGATTGATGCGGTGATGTGGTTGAATATGTTTGATTGATGTTTGATTTGCTAACTGGTTTGAAGATGAACCTAGTTTGAAGGTGAACCTAGTTAATCTTTATAATATTATTATTTTTACAATTGTTGAATATGATATGATTGATGTTAGTTGAATGGTTGAATATGATCGGTTATGTGATATTATGGATTGAAAGGATTGATTAACTAGTTTGAAGATGAACCGTAGTTCATTTTCATGGTATTTTTTTTACATTTGTTGAATATGATATGATTGATGTTAGTTGAATGGTTTAATATGATATGATTATATACTAATTAAAAGAATGCTCTTATTTCAGGAGCCCCCCTGGTCTGGCGATTGACACTAATTACACTCTGCTTGACCCGGCATTCGACAACGGTCATCGCACCCGTTACATCGAGAATGGAATGGTAAATAGCAATGATCAACGTCTTCCATCAAAAATTGCCTTCCCAAAAGTTTTTACTAACTATTTTCGTGTGCACATTGACAGATGCCTCCGCCATTACGTATGAGGATCCACACCAAGGTCAAAGAGATGAAGTACGACAGTCGCTACGAGCCGTGTTACAAGAGAGCTAGATTGTTGGGTTTCGTGCTCCAGTTCAAGCATACGCCGCCGACGCTTGTCCACATGGCTCTCACAACGTTGGTGGACCGTTGGCGGTTGATACATCTCCAACGTATCTATAATTTTTGATTGTTCCATGCTATTATATTATCTGTTTTGGATGTTTTATATGCATTAATATGCCATTTTATATTATTTTTGGGATTAACTTATTAACTTAGAGCCCAATGTCAGTTTTTGTTTTTTACTTGTTTTTTGAGTCTTACAGAAAAGGAATATCAAACGGAGTCCAAACGGAATAAAACTTTCGCGATAATCTTTTCTGGACCAAAAGACACACATGGGACTTGGAGAAGAAGTCAGAAGAGTCCCGAGGACTCCACAAACCCTCAGGACGCGCCCCCTGGCTTCCCCCATCCCCCCCTCCAAGGGAGTGTCAACAGTCTTATTGACAGCC